TTACTTCATTTAATACTAAGAGTACCTATTCTAGTCAGTCATTTTTAACATGTATGATACACATTTTTTAATTTTACAGATGAGTGAACTGAGGATTTAAGAAGTGACTCTTGCAGCATTCCAGAGTTAGAAAGCAGCAAAACAGGATACATATCAGGCACCTCAAATCTGAAGGCCAGCTGACCTCTCCATTCTCTCTCCCACAGGCCATGTGGGTTTGGGACATACTTGTTGGTATTGTTTGGCATTGGTATTAAACAGTGATTCAACAGGCATAACTGGTGTGTTTGTGGGACAAGGGGAGAGCTCTAATGAAGTCTAGAAAGTATGATTCCTTTAGGCCAGAGAATAATTCCTTTTATATGTAGTTTTTAAAAAATCTGAGGGGCCAGGAGTTTAGTTCAGCGGGTAAAGCGCTTGCTTGGTAAGTGCAAGGTTATGAGTTTGATCCCCAGTACCAAAAAGAAAAAAAATCTGAAACTGTTTTGAGTTGACAAAAAAAAAAGGCATCATTCATGCTACATGTGAAGTCATCCTCACTGCTGTTAGGTATTTTTTCAACATAATTGAGAGATAAACAGAGAGACAGACATAAGGAGGGCTTTATTGCGGGCATGGGAGGGCTGCAGAAGAGTGCAAGATCCCTCAAAAAAGGGGTAGCTGGGATAGTTTTTATGGACTTGGGCTGGGGGTGCGGCACTAGAGTGACTATGGAGCCTTGGGATTGGAGAGGGCTCAGCACACGTGCAAAAGGGCGTGGGAGGTTTCTCTTCTGGAACTAGAACAACACAGAAGTTACTTTTGGAGAGATAAACTGTTTCTCAGGACTGGTGCCCAGTAGATAGGTAGGCCCTAGACTGGCAGCACTGCCTTCCAAAAAATGCCTGGCAGTGATGGTGAACCTTCCAAAGCTTCGCTGATACAAACAGACCACTCTGGGACATGTGCCACCAGTTTGCCACCACTGGTCTAGAGAAACTGACAGCAGAGCTTGGCAGCAGGTTACTTCAAACAATAGGAACCTTACAGTTTGGCCCCAACTATTCCTTTTGTTCTTCTCATCTTCATTTGATTCACATCTTATATGACACAATCTGACACATTTATTATTCAATCTTCAGAAAAGTCAAAAAGAGTTGTTCTGCAGTCATGCTTTGACCTGTATTGTTATATTGTTATGACCTGTTTTATCTCAATCTCTCCCTTATTCATTAAAAAATTTAGTTATTTTTTATGGTTTTTTAATTAAGGGGAAAATTTTTAAAAATTAGCAGGATATATTATAGTAACTTTTTTTGATTTCCTATTAACTTGTTTTGAAGTCCTGTAATACTCCCACTATCTTGTTTTGACTGATTAGACTCTGTTCCATTCTGTATGATAGTATAAAGTTTGGGGGTATAGGCAACTACTTTGAAGGCAATAAGATTCACTAAGATGCCCATTCTGGTTTGACTATTGTTTCCTTTGGAAGTCCTGTAATGTTTACAATGCTTAAATTTTATCGGTCTTGTTCTCTACTGTTTTGTTCAACTTTATAATATCTAATGAGATAGACAATTCTTTTTAAGGAAACAAGAGCCATTGTTGATAACCATTGTTGATAACCTTGTACTCTGTTTTACATCATGTGCTATGTCTATCCTTGGTTTTGACTGACAGCTTTGTTTTGCCATATTTGACTTTATTGTCTCCCCCCCCAAAAAGTAATAAGAACCAAGGAGTAATAAAACCCAAAATGTGTAAATTTTGTTGTAAAAGACAGGGAAAAAAAGAGCTCTAAAGGATACAACAGCAAGTGTGTTTAGGGGTGTTAAATAGCTGACCATATTAATGTTTTTGGTTGGATCATTGAACACAACTGTTTGCAGTCTCACTGTTTGAATGTTCACTTTGTATGCTTTGATACTGTGACTTGAGCAACTATCTCTAAGACGATAATATGTAATTTATTAACTGGTGATTTCTTACTGGTTTTTTTTTGTAGTTCTGTATTACTTGTACCCTTACACCGCTTTGATTTGTTTTGTTTTTTCTCTTTTCCCTTTTAAATAAAATTAAAAAAAAAAAAAAAGTTGTTCTGAACACTGAGGATGACAGAAATTAGCCTTTTCCCCTTTGACATTTTCATTTTGGTTTTTAAAATAAAATTTCTTCCAAAGCCACAATCTTTGTTTTCACCTTTCCAATTGATGAGAACAACATCTAACATTATCAACCTTATTTTTCCTATGGTAATTTTGTCGTGAACAGACCTTGAGTTTCCACACCACTGTCTCCTCTAAACTCCCTTTCTTTCAGTGTGACACAATCACTAAACCAACCCGGACACGTTATTAGCTTCATACTGTAGTTCATACAGCTCCCTCTCAGGTAGACCACCCTGTGGTATAACAAGCATATACAGAGGTCGGTTCTGTCTCTCGGCCCCTGCCTCATGGACCATTTCCTCAGTGAGGAATATGGAGTGTTCTCCTCTACGACTTCACTCAAGGGAGGCATCTGCCCTCCTGTCATGGTTTATGTTGGTGGCTCATGCATTTTCATTGTGCATTTGTGATGAACCCACTGTCTAGCGCTTGGATTGGGGGTATGAGTGCTATACTGGCCTAGGGGTGGAGCCAGGATGTAATGTAATGCAATGGCAGGAAGAAGGCGTGTCTTGCTCTCTCTCTTGCCAGTTTCTGCCTTGTTGTTTGCAGCCACCATGAACTGCTGCACAGCCATGCCACCCTACCTTGGAGCCAACTGAATATGGACTGAAACCTCCAAAAACTGTAAGAAATAAACCTTTCCTTTCCCAACTTTGGGCTTCAGGTATTTTGTCTCAACAACGAGTAAAAAGTAACTCAGACAGAATTTGGTACCAAGGAGTAAGAGTCATTTGCTATGACTATACCTGACCATGTTTTTCGAGAGGCTTTGGAAATGGCTTGTGGGCAGAGTTTGGAAAGGTTTGGACATATTGCCTGGATGTACAGAGCTGGAGCAGCTTGGTCAGAGTTCAGGAGACCAGAACACTGATAGAAAGCCTGATGGTAAAAACCAGGCTTGGGAGGTTTCTGCTGGGAAAAAGGACTGCACTGGTTGTTGGACTCCCCATGATGTGTGTTATGGCTTGGTAGAAAGTTTGTCTGCGTTTTGCTCATGCCCAGAGACTTTGCCTGAGACTGAGACAATGGACTGATCAATGTGGAAAAGGAAATTCCAAAGCAGTTGAATGTTGAGGCTGTGGCATGGCTATTGTTGGCAGCTTTTAGCCAGCTTTATGCTGCAAATCAAGAGCAAAGAGTCCAGCAGGATAATTTACAACTCTGTGAATTTGGTCAGAAGGAAAATTTGAGGAAAGCTGTGAATTGTAAAGACAGAGTTGAGACTTTGATTGCTAAGGAGAAACAGAGAGATAAGAAAGATGACCCCAGAGCATCCCAGGAAGCCAGGGGTCCCACCCTTTACCCTAAAACTGCAAAGGTGAAAGAATTTGCTCAGAGGAGAAAGCTGAAAAGCACCACGCTCCAGAATGGCCACAGAGGTTACATGAGGTTCCAGAATGGCAGCAACATAGAGAAGCCTTTTTTCACAATCAGGTTGACAGAACCCAGCAATCCAGGCAATCGATCCCTACAGCCAACAGAGAAAAAAGCCTGGCTGCTGCTTCAGCTGGCAGCAACCTTGGCGGCATCCACAAGGTGCTGATTTTAGGTGCAAGGAAAATGCACAAATTCTAAGGATAAGACAGTTTCCACCTCGATTGCAAAGGGTTTGGGAGGCCAAGCAGGTGTGCCCAAGACGGCAATCTGTAGAGATGTAAGCCAAAGGTGCAGTGGAGACCCCAGAAGTTTGGAAAAGCCAGGAACATGGGTGATCCAAGGAAAGCTGCAAAAAGCAAGCAGAGGGATTTAAGAGAAAAGCTGCAGGAGTTGAAATCACTGGAAGTGCCATTGGGGTGGAATCACCCAAGCTTTTTGGAGCTTGTAACCAGATTGCTTCAGATACTGAGCATGGAAGTCTAGGACTTAATGTTTGCCCTGCTGGATGTTGGACTTGCTTTGTTTCTAATGCTTTATAGTCCCCTGTTTGTAACTTTTGGAATGGTAATGTTTATCTTGTGCCTTTGTATTTCTGAAATATTTAACCTTGTTTCATTTGTACAGGGGGTGACAGGTAAGACTCTGCCATAGATCTCGGAGGAGACTTAGGACTTGGACTTTTCAGAGATGCTGAAACTATTAGGACCTTGGCAACTCTTGGAGATGATGGACTAAATATCCTTTGTATAAAGGATGTACATGAGTCCTGGGGGCCAGGGGTGGAATGTCATGGTTTATGTTGGTGGCCCCCAGGCCTCATGCATTTGCATTGTGCATTTGTGATGAACCCATTGTCTAGCGCTTGGAATGGGGGTGTGAGTGCTACACTGGCCTAGGAGTGGAGCCAGGATGTGATGTAATGGCAGGAAGAAGGCGTGTCTTGCTCTCTCTCTTGCCAGTTTCTATCTGGCTGTTTGCAGCCACCATGAACTGTGGCCCAGCCATGCCACCCTGCCTTGGAGCCAACTGAGTATGGACTGAAACCTCCAAAAACTGTAAGAAATAAACCTTTCCTTTCCCAGCTTTGGGCATCAGGTATTTTATCTCAGCAATGAGTAAAAAGTAACTAAGATGCTTCCCAAAGTCACTGAGCTCCTGGCCATCCGAAGCACCTTTTGCAGGAGGTAGCCAGTGGTCTACACCACACAGCACAGCAGTCATTCCCAGGGGGATTACATCTAAGCACACAGACTTCATTCCTGTTAACTCCGAAATCACTATTAAACTCCCAACTCGATGAGGTTATTAAGAATCAATTAGCTTCATAGTTATTTCACTTTAACTGTTATTTCTACATTGCAAATGACTCATTGCTACAACAGTATTGAATCTAGTTCTTGCAATTTCATACAATCTAACTAGCTGTCTAAGAAAAATGGAATATGTAATACATCACAAACTGAATTATACCCTTTGCAAGCCGCAGGATTGAGAAAGACAGTTGCTTTCTTCACTTGTGCATTGGGAGGAATGAGTTGATTGCCAAACACCTAAAAAAAAAAAAAAGAAAAGAAAAGTTTTCAGTAAATATCCTTTTATTCAGCTAGTGACCACAAATATTCTTTCATTCCAAAAGAATTTACTTCCACCAGATATGCTATACACTCCAGAGAAAAAAGAAATATTCATTTATGATTTCATATTAACAAAACACCATAAACACAACAACCTTCCACTGTATAATGACAATTAGCTCAATTTTTTTTATCAGAATCAAATCCATGTTTTTTCCTCTCTATACAATATGGCTGACTTTCTCATAAACATGTAACTAGGCTGGCTACAGGCTGTCAGGAAGGAAGTTTAATTCACGTGTAGTTTTCAGAATATAAACTTGTTCTCCTTCAACTATTAGTAAAACTTACCCATGAGAAACTTTTGTGTCACCAGTTGAGCTCCATATCTTTCTACATACAAGAAGTCGCCCTAGTAACTCTAGTTGCCACCTCCTCTTTGCAACCCAGCATGACTCACAGCAGTAACTGACATGGGAAAAGAAATGGGAGTAGTCTCTGTTAGGGTCCTAGTATTTGTCACTTTCACATGCTTGGTTCTAAGGAAGTATTACTTGATACCTTTACAGATTAGAAACCAAGATTCCAATATTGAAAGAGTTCATCAACAACGAGCGTAGGATTCACATTTGTCCAGCTCCAAAACTGAAACTTCTCTTTCAGCTCTAAGAGCAAGGTAGAATTCAAAGGTAGAGGATGGAGTAGGAGCCAATGTTATAATGACAAGACCAGAGAAGACAGTCAATAAAAGGACTGAGAATATTAAAGCACCAAAAAAGGGCAAAAATTCTAGCCTTAAATCATGGAAAGCAAGACTAGACCAAGGCAGCATAGATGCATAAAGATATAAGAAACATGAAAATTTACGAAGATATTTTATTAAGAAACTCTAAAGCTACCATCTCCCTGACAGTCTATTAAAGATTCTTTCTTGCCACTATTTCTTGCTGCTAAAAAACAAAAACAAAACAAAAAAACACACTTTCTTGGTAAAGAAGTACATTATTGTTTCTATTTCATTTTCACTCTTAACTAGACCTTAATATTTTACTGCCAAATATCCAGAAATTACAACTTGTTCTTTCCCTGTCTATACTGTTCTGGAATATGGCCAGAAACTATTTAACTAGCTCAGCTCTCTGGGCTACAAGATTCCAAGTCTGAAGTACCAGATTATTCTTCATTGTCCGAGGTTCCCCCACCCAGGTTCTTGCAGCTTTTTAAATTAGTACATGTTGTAATACTTGATGATTACATTCCTCGTGGAGAGTTGCTACATATACATAACACATCTTAATTCTTCTTTTATCTCTTGATCCCATCTGAGAAAGAGATCTAGATTTGCTATCTCCTTGCAACTCAAGTCTCAGGTTCAGAATAAACTAAAGAATTTATATAGGACTACACTAAGTTTGTTTGTGGGATATTTAAAAAACCATAGACTGTAAAGACAGAATGCTACAAGGACAAATCCATCTCCTTTTAACACAAGGGAGAAGCTAAACACATGCTAGGAAGTGGAAATTTTTCAGAATGCTAGGAAGAGGCCTGGAAACATTAAGTGGAAATGGAATCCCCTTTACCTAAGGAAGAGAGGATGTTGGAAGGTATAAATCACCTTTAACTTTTGTTTGTTTGTTTGTTTTAATCAGGAATAAAACTCACAACCTCATGCTTGCCAGCAAGCGCTTATGCCACTGAACTAAATCCCCAGCCTTCATTTATTAAATATTAAAATTTCATAATTACACTGATTCGATCATTACATATTGCACACATATATCAATGTATCATACTGCGTCCCAAACATATGTACAAATCTTGCATCAATAAAAAATGTTTTTCAAATCTTTTTAAAAATAATTTTAATGTTTTTATGTATATGCCTTTTTGAGACAGGATCTCTCTGTGCAGTTTAGGCAGGCCTTGAGCTCACTTTGTAGCCCAGGCTGGTCTCAAACTCGCAATGATCCTTCTGCCTCAGCCTCCCGAGTGCTGAACTGTAAATTTTTTTGAAGTTTCAGCTGATTTGTAAAACAACTTGGAGCACATAACATAATAACTGTTAAGGAAAAATTAATCAAATACTTAAATCACAGTTTTACAAGAGCTGTATATAACAATCACTGAACAGAGGAATTTACTACTAGTAGTATCTACTATCATTGTCAGCCATGAAAATATTTCAGAAACAAACATCAGAGTTGCCACTCACTTCACTAAATATTTCATTCCTTTTCCATTTTTGACTTTCATGTTTCTTTTTGGGTATTTCTGACATCAGAAGCTTAAGTATCATAACAAAATGGAAACGGAGTCACAGAAATTCATCTGCAGGTATTATATACAAAGGGCAGAAAGAAATACATTTTTCAAACTGAGGGGATTTATAATTCAACTGTGATTGCCACAACCATACACAAATGCTCAAGTGAAGTGTCATGAAATTGGGATAACAGTGCACACAGAGTGATTCAGCTACAGTGCTACAGAGATGGGCTTTTTAACTATGAATCAACAATTTTAAGGCAATTCAGCTTTCAGTAGTAACACCTGTTCTGCACTGATATCCTTGGATCAGAGATGAGTCGGGGTTTAGCCAGATCTTAAAGGACAACTGCAAACACGAGCAAACTCCCAGAGCTTCAGCTAGTGCAGCTATGTGTGCTGGTGAGAGACCCAGAAGTGAACAAGTCCAAAGAGGTGGCTCTAGACCTGCTCCCTGCCAGATGCTTAACTTCCTCTGTGCTGCCCAGAACTGGCTCTCAGCCCGATTCATCCCCTGATAAGAGGAAAAACAGGGGCTGGGGATTTAGCTCAGCGGCATAAGTGCCTGCCTTGCAAGCAGGCAGTCGTGAGTTCGATCCCTGGTACCGATAAAAATGAGAAAGACAAAAAAAAAAGAGGAAAAACAACCAACTGCACTCATGCAAGACCCTCTGTGCATCCCTGGAGTAGCAGGGGCTTCCTGCACCATAGTGATAAGGTAGGTTTTAATTCTTTCACAGAAAACGCCATTACCTGAGCTTCTTGACAGGCTGCCCTCCTTAGCAGGTTATCACTATCAAAGCAAACAAAAGAGAACCAACGTTAGCTTTCACAGGAGATTAAGATCCATACAAAATTTGTAGAGTTCTCTTCCCAATAAATCTATCTCTTCCCAATAAATAAAAATGGAATTCTAAACCATGTGCACATTTAAACACATTTGCTGACTAAAATTTTATGTTAAGTATTTCCATATTAGGGTGTGCAGAATAATGCCCATTCCCCAAAAAGTGTCCATACCCTAATCCCCAGAACTCAAGAATGTTACTTTACACAACAAAGGGGACATTAACGATATTAAAGTTTATGACTTTTAGACTGAGAGGTTATCCTGATTATCTGGATGGGCCCAATCTTTCCACAAGATCTTTACAGAGGAGCAGCTTTCGTGCCTGTGATCAGAGGCAGACGGGACTCTGGAAGGATGGTCAGTTGCCAGCTTTGAAGACAGAAGAGCCACGAGTCAAAGAACGTGGCAGCCTCTAGAAGCTCCAAAGGCCAGCAAAAGGGTTCTCCTGTAACAGCCCCAAGGAAGGCAGCTCTTAGCCCAGTGAAACTGGTGTTGAACTCCCAATCCATAGATAAGATACTAAATTTATGGTGTATTAAAGCACTAACCTTGGGGCAATCTATTAGGCAACAACAGAAAACTAGTAAACATGGATTTTTCTTATCCAATGGAAATTCCTCAGGTCATCTGCCAGAAATAAATTTGATGTTTAGTTACTTCCACTATTTAGTTATCTAAATCTCCTATTTTTTTTAATCACTGGCAGATACTCAGTTATATCGTAAATGGAAAATTTGGAGAAGAGGTAAAATTTTGGCTTCCAAAAATGAAAGCATTCTCTCAGAGGAATATCCTCTTTTTAATGCAAAGATATCTAACCTGTGTCCTAAGAGCACCTTGAGTGTCTGACTCAGACACTCAAGCCCCAGAATCTTCCTCACATACAGATCTGTGCTCATGTACACAGCTGGCATCACTAAGACAATAACTTTAATCTGGTTAACAATACTTAAGAGAACTAATACCCAGAAGAGATGACCGAAAGCAAATTTGTAGGAAAGAACTTTAAAAAGGAAGAAGGGATGAAGATATTGAATTCTGCATTTTCAGATAATTTCAAATCTTATTTTCATATTAAGGTTGAAAGAGAAGAAATGAAAATAAGTAACCTGTGCCTTTTTGTGACTTTTCTGCCACTGCCACTCTGTAGAACCACCCCAAATGTCACAGGGGAAGTCCGCCTGAATAAGAACACCATCCACACGGTACCGATAAAAAGGAAAAAGACCAAAAAAAAAAAAAAAAACCACCATCCAAAGGAACATCAGTGTCCTCAATGTACCACTGAAATTATTAACAGCACCAGAACCTCCCAAGTCTCTACTTGATTAAAAGAGTTCAAGTAGACCAATTGCTTATGAAGTTCGGCCCACAGGCAACCCTGGCATCAGGCCCAGGCCCCACCTGCTTGCATGGCTCTGTCCCTCTGCTGCTGCCCAGGTGGCAGCAGAGTTGTGTCACTGTCTCTACTTCCCCACCCAAGATCCACAAACAGTCAAGCTTTGCTCTTCCCCCTGCACTACTCCCAGTGGATCATTTCAACATCAGTAACAATAACAACTACACACACATCCCAGGATGATAGGAATGCAGGGTATAAAATGGTGAAATATCGGAAAGTAATGGATATGTCAGTAAACCCCGATGCTTCACATTTATGACCTTATAGGCAACAAAGGTATAAAATACGGGAACCACAGAAACATCTGGATCACAAGGCAACACCAGGTTTGTCATAGTATAGTCAGTAGATCTCCCCAGAACTGTACTAATGCCGATCCAGCTTCCTCATGATCCTGAGAATTTGGCCTCTAGTCTCCCACCCTCATCTCTGATCCCCTACTCATTAGCTCTGAAAGCTTTTCAAGTAGGCCAATTTTTTTATGCCTCCAATCTCTCATCCTATAAACTCAGCCTGTGGGTCCTGCACAGGTGTATCAGGCCTCTGTGAAAGCATACTCCAGTCTCCGTATCTCCACCCCTCTTCACCTCTTGCTTCCAGGTTCCTCTTCCCTAGTGGAGGACAGATCTCTGAGGTGCAGTGGCTCCCCTATCACACGAAGCACATCATCTTTGCTACGTGTCAACCTGTTGCGTACCTTGCTGAAAAGAGAACAGCCTCAAATGTGTACATTAGGCACCTTGGATCACCTTTCCCCCTAAATTCTTTGTTACTAGACATAAAATTTTGACAGTTAACTTGTGATTAAGTATATTAAAGAACTGAGGTGTCTTGAGCTTATTAATACCACTTGATTTATCAGCGTGCTCTTCAAAAAAAAAATCAAAAGATTTTGTGATAGTTAATTTCCTGAATTAAATGTGCCAAGGAGAATATGCTGTCAGTGTCACCTATGAGAAAGCCCAAATATGCCCCCAGCTCAGATGCTACGAAAGAAAATACCATTATAATCATGCTTAATATCCAGATGATATTAATCATCTTGATCTGATTCTCTGAACCAGATTGTTTTTAAAAATCAACTACATTCTTAAAAGAGAAAAGATTTCTCCCATTTAAGTATAGTAGAATCTCAGTATCCAAGGGAACTAGTTTAAAGGAACTGCCAATATCAAAATCATTACTTGTAACATCTAATACAAGGTAAATGCTATGTAAATAGTCATTACAGTGTATTATTCAGGCAAAAATGGCAAGAAAAAAAATCCACACAGGTTTAGTACCTACATACTTTTTCTGATTATTTTTTTATCTGCCCTTGGTTGAATCCATGGATAGAGAACCCACAGATATACTGGGACAACTTATTTCTGAAAGAAATTCCAAAGGTATTTCAACAATGGCAATATTGCTGGAAGAAAAAAAAATTAAAACTTAGCAACTACCATGTGCCAGATACTAAGGTAACTGTTTCCACAAATGTTTAATCTCAGTCACAATCCTGCAAATCAGAAAGTATTATGTAACACAGAACATTCTCACTTTGCAGGTGAGGAAGCTGAGGCTTGGGAAAGTCACTCGCCCAAGAGCTCAATGTTACGAAGTGGCAGAATTAGAATTCAAACTTATCTTATTTTCTTCTACAGTGTAGACAGCACCACATAAATACTCATTTAGATGTAGACTTTCTAGCACATTTACTAATTACATTGCTCCAAGTCTCATCTAATATAACTTCAACAATTTATATTCCTATATGTTTATAAATATAAACATATAAACAAAAGTAGCCGATGGGAAAAAAAAACTCAACACAAGCTGCTGCATACGGTACCCAAAAGAACTTGGTTCTACCCAGAAGAAGCAGAGGCTCTAGTGGTAATTTTGGGGTTGTAAAAGATTCTTGATAAATAATACAACACGCTAGGAATCTGAGATGTGGCAGTGGAAAAGTGCAACATTCCCTGCCTTCATAAAGTTTATAGTTTAGAAGAGAACAGAGAATTCAACAGGCAGTCCTGTGTCAACTTGACTTATTGCTGCATACAAGGGGCACATAAAAGGGGCACCTAACCTACTTTGGAGCAAATAAGAGAGTTTACATGATGTGACATTGATCTAATGGAAAAATACAGAAGCCAGGCAAGAACAGGGAGTAGAAATCAGGGGGTGAGGCATATGTTAAAACCTTCAAGTGCCAAAATATAACAAATTTAGGAAAATAAAGCTATTGGGACAGCTAGAGACAGCAGGCCATGGGAGGAGCAGCAACAGAGGCAGGTACAGTCAGGTAAGGGCCAACACACCATGGGCCTTTCAAAGTACTTAAAGAACCTGGATTTTATCGCAAGTGCCAATAAAGAGCTTTAAGAAACTTGATAGGACGAGACTTACATTTTAGCAGTCATGAAGGAGGCATCAGTCAGAGGTAAGGCCAAATCTGGGGAGACCAGGAAGGCTTCCGCATTAAATCAGCTCAGTGATGATGACTAGAACCAGGATTGTGGCAGACAGCCAGGAAGAAGAGGACAGAATCAGCAGATATTCAGGATGTAAACTTGCAAGACGGGAACTAAAGGAAAACGAGGAGTAAAGGATGGTGTCCACATTCTGCATAGAGAAATCTGGCGGGAGATAGTACTATTAACAGAGATAGAATAAAGCAGGAGGTACAGATGTAGAGGGGTGAAGACGGAATATAGTTTTAGCTCAGTCAATCTGAAGTAGTAGTGGGAGGCCAGGTGGAGGTAAGAGACAATGGAAATTCCACGTCTGGAATTCCAGGTAGCTGTTGTGATTAAATGGTAAGCCAAGGGATGAGAACAGATAAACTACATGAGGACTGAAATGGAAGAAGCAGGAAGAGGTACTCTGAGTACAGAGACAGCTTACAGACAATACCAAATGACCCACAGCTACACAGATACTGCATTTCATTTGAAAGTCAAAGGAAGAATGTGGTAGATAGCTGAGGAAAACCTTAAGCTTTCCCATCTTCCATTATTCTGCTCTACTCATAAGCTGCATGTTTTGCTGTACCTAAAAGGCACTGTGGAGTTTATATCTCCAAGGATCATTTCAGCATTTTATTTCTCCCTTTTAAAGGGGCAGGAGTGGGTCAAATACCGTATGAGGCAGGCCCTTAGCCCTACAAACACAAACTGCTAGTCTTATCTTCCTTCTGGATTGTTAAATTCTTGAAATAGATAATTCACCATTTTAGCTTCCACAGCCCACAGTGTAGACTCCTATAGATAGAGCCGACTCAGTAAATACTTGTTAATAAATAAGTGATAAATGTTTGAACAGAAAAGATTGGCTCACTGTGTTGTGCCAGGCAGATTGCGCTAGAGGAAAAACCCAAGGTCATTCTTTGTAGGAGTACCTGCATTCTTGAAGAAACAGGTCAACCAGGATGGTTCTCCAATGCGAATCCCATAAATAAGAGCAAGAGTCACAATGGTGTAGAACAGAATGGTGTAGAACCGCCCTAGGAGGCTCACCAGCCAGAGGAGATCCCAGGTGGGCATGTGCAGAATGC